AACCCACTAAAACTATTTTCTGTCCATAGTTTTGCATAATCTGCCTACTAAGGAAATACTGAGGAAGAGCTCAGAACTGAGCAATTCAGCAAGATCACAGAAACCACGTGTAGGGAGCTGCCTGTCAGCAAATGCTACTAGAGATTCTGTAAGTATCAGGAAAAATCTTGCAGGTAAGGGTGAAATAAATGGCTTTGGCCAGTTTTGTATAGGCTGCATATTTCTTGCAGGGTCATTGCTACTTCTAAAGAGTTCAAGTAGAATAATTATTTTGGAATACTGTATTTTCTGAGTGCCAAGGATTCTGATGGAGCTGTGGTCATCTGAAGGCTCAACTAGGCTCTATATCCAAGGTGGTTCATTCACATAACTGTCCGCTGATGCTCTCAGTTTGGCTGTTGACCCAAGCACCTACAAATGGCCTCTCCATTTTGTCTTGCACTTACTTACAAAATGGCAGCTTCACTTAGATTCTTAAAAGGCGGCTCAATGTTCCAAATAGGAGAGTGCCAGCATGTAACATGGAAACTGAATCATTTTTATTACCTAGCCTTGTATGGCATGCTGTGTCATTTTGATCACATTCCATTGGTTACAAGTAAATCATAAGCCCACTCAGATTCAAGAGGAGGGGTACATACCTTACCTCCTATGAGAGGAGTGTCAAGGTCATGTTGCAGGGGAGCATGTGGCAGAGCAGATATTACTGGGGCCATATTTGGAAAATATAACCTGCTACACAGGGTTAGTCATTAAAAATAGAATGTGTGAAGTCACTGAATTTAAGGTAAAATATAGAGGTCACCAGACTTGGTAGAGAAACAAAGTAAGGAGGCAGAAACTGCAAAATGTTTACATTCTCACATTCACAAGAGCAGAAGGATCCAGGAAAAGAGTGGGAGTTTAATCAAGTCAAGATTCAATAAAGGCTTCACTCTGCACGCTCCACCCCAGCTGACTTTGGCAGTGATGCTCTTATGACAATTCATTCATCCTTTCACAGACTTTTAGTGAGTGCTTACCACATGTGCCAGGGACTAGTCCAGGTTCTTCGCACAGATCAGTAAGCAAATATAGCAACAAGCCCTACCCTTGTGGATGGTGTATTCTAGTGGATTCATATTAATAAAAAATAAACAACACTGTTGGCAAATTAAGTAAATCACCATTAGAGGCAAAGTTGCACATGGCCTAACTAGCTAACTCTGCCCTAAAGAATATTCTAGGCTAAGTTTTGCCAGGTAATTGACCAACAGCCACAAGTGGTGAGGTCTTTGGGAAAGAAGTTTACAGGTAAAAGGGTTCATCTGTCCTGTGAGTTTAAGAGGGCTACTGGATACCACTCATCTCTTGCTTCTCCCAAACTGTTAGGGGAAGCACACTGACTGAAACCGCCCACCCTGGCCAGGCAACATAGTAACCATTTGCATGAGTTGTTTTATGACAGGAGGTCCTAGTAAGGAACATGCAACTAATAAGCTACCACCAACCGGGAGAGTTCAGGAAAGGTCAAAAAGTGACACCACGTGTCCAACCCCCTCCCAGAATCCTTCTCTCTGGCATCCATCTTGGCTGAACAAGGCGTGCACCACCAGGAAGGACTCTGAGTCAGAATGATTGGCTAAAGACAACCCGGAAACTAATCCCATCACCATGAAAGCTGAGACTGGGAGCCACGTGCCAGAGCAGTTCTCCTCGGTTCCCTTACCCTCCTGCTCTCCGCCCGGGTGACTCTTTCCAATAGTCCCTTGCTTTGACAGCACACGTGTCTCCTTGGACAATTCATTTCTGAGTGTAAGACAAGAGCCCACTTTTGGGCCCTGGAAGGGGTTCCCGCTTCCTGCATGAAAACCAGACTGTTTCTCAACCATCTGATGACCTTTGTTCTACTTGGAGGTATCACTGTCCAAAAGAAACTCCTGGGAACCCTAATACTTCACCTTACCCTGTACACACACCCTTTGTCACATGGCTGTGGAGTTCTGCAAAGACACCATGTATTTCCTGGTGTGATTTTCCAGCTGAATAAGGCAGACAGCGGTGTGTCAGCTCTTAGACCAGTCCTACAGAAGTCTTGCCTGTTCCCCCTCGGCTCTTGTTCCTCTGCCAGGCATGCCGGGGCTGAAGCACTGAGGCTGAGACATGGACCAGAGCCTAGTCAACCCAGTCTCCCCAAGCAACAGCCAGCCCACTCCCCCTCCTGGAGCCTCGCTGCGATCCCAGACCCATGAGCAATCCACTTACTGTGCCATGGCACAAGATTTTGTGGTTGCTTGTAATGTAGCATTTGGGGGCAAGGCAGGGCACAAGGGTGGCAGGGGGACACAACTGGTAAAAAAGCAGAGCTCCTTCTCTCGGCTACCTGCTTCCAGTATCATTCTGAAAGCAATCAACCCACGTCCCCTTCATTGTTCTTGGCGCTACCTTGGTGCTGGGCAGTGTGGAGGGATAATCAGTCAGACTTAGCAGAGTTGCCTGGAGATTCAAGACAAGGGTGGGTGGGGGGGAATAAAGTGGAATATGGCTTCCTTTCTGCCTGTGAAGGTTTGCATTTGATGTTGTTACCGAGTCCAAGCTTGCTCTGCTTGTCACATGATATGCCAATGAATCCAAGAGATGAGGTGTTGGGGCGAGGAAGAGACTTTAATTGGGGAGCCAGCAGCCAGAGAAGATGGCAGGCAAGTGCCTCAAAATAACCATCTTATGGGGTCTGGATGTCAGGTTCTTTTATAGGTCAGAGATGAGGGAAAGTGAGGAAGCAAAGTAAAAAGGCCATTAATCTTGCAAACATCTCCTAGAATGGCAAGTTTCAGGCAGGGGATGTGTTAATTTCTTTCTTCCTGCCATCCACAGGTGGACAGGGTTCTGAACAAAGACACTTTTAACAGTCAGGCAGAGGGGCAGGATCCTCTGAGGCAAACCATTCTGTATGATTATAACAACAAAAGCAAGGAAAAGCAAGTCAAAGGAACAGTCCAACGTGGAGTCAGAATTGGCTTCCTCCCTGCAACAATGTCTCCGTGCCTAAAGGGGTAGAAATCACTCCTAAGGCCTATTACAGCTGAGGGAGGAGGAAGAAGCCAGGAGAAGTCAAACATTTCAATTGCTCCTTTGACAGCCTTAGCCCAACACTGAACTCCCTGCCTACAAGTGGACTTAGCTTTTTATTATTATAATTAAAAGTGAACCTGTTCCGGCACTCACAGGAGAATGGAGGCCATACCATCCATTCTTTGGATGTGTCAGTCCTGGCAATCATCTTGGCCAACCGAACTCCCTCTCCACAAAATATCAAGCAAGGACAGAGCAGCAGGCTATTTAATCTCTGCTTCCAAAATCACTGTGACAATTAACACTTTTGAGGAAAAAAATTACCTCCAAGCAAAACTGGACTTTCAAGTCAGTGGAGCAGTTGCTCTCCCCACAGAGTGTCAGAAACTTTTCCATGAGTCACTTATTCTTTTGTGGCTTGCTCGGTCCCTATCAAAATGCAAATACCCCTGGGAAAGATGACCTCTTTGGCCTTCACTGGCCAATACTTTGGGAAAAGAAGAATCATTTCAAAACAGCTGAGCAAAAGAAAGGCAATTCATTTGTGTCATTGTTCACTTTCTGTGTTTGCCACTGAACTGTAACCTCCCTGACATCTAGGACCATGTCTGTTTTGTTTATCCATCTATTTTCAGGGTTCAAGACTCACAGGAGACACAATGTTGCAGAAACCCGTACTCGAGAAATCAAGCACCACACTTGGAGAGTTGGAGAACTCAGGTTTATTATGCTGGTGGGCCCAGAGGAGTTTGCACTCCAAGCTCTGAGCCCTGAGCAAAGGGATTAGATTTTATAGACCTACTATAGTGGGCAACACTAGCTGCTAATAGGCTGGTTTAAACTAAAGGGTTTCCCAGCACCAGAACAGTGGTCAAGATGGGGAGGGGGGTGCCTGACCCTTACACAGACAGGCATGATTAAGCAGGTTTGTAGGGGCTGGGCAATTGGAACGAGCAGGACAAGGGTGAGTGAGATACACTCCAGTTCCTAGTATTTTAAGTCCCCACTTTCTGAGACTACGTGACCTACGTGATCCAGACTTTGCAAGGAGCAAGCTGAGTTACAGAGACAGAAGGAGCAGGAGGTTATGTAAAATTTTAACTCTTCCTCTTCAAATACGCCTGAGATGGGACAGGCCAGAGGTAGGGGGACGGAAGGGAAAAAACATGGGAAGGAAGGAAAAGAGTGAAAGAAATAACTAAGGACACACAGAAAATGGTTCAAAATGCCAAATTAAAATTCTCAGCAGCATTTACCCTTAACTTCACTGGTTAATGACCTCAGGACACTTATAGGGTGCACACGGTGCCTGAATAGGTCTGGGGGGGTTCGTCTCTAGAAGACAGAATCTCCATTCCTTACCTTATCCTGGTGTGGTTCTCTGAACTTCTACTCCTGGGGATTCCGAAAAAAACCCGACAGCCAAGGCTGAGGACAAGTTTCCCTACGGGGCACTTCACCGGGGCACTTCACCGTTTGACTGCATTCAAATCCCTCAGCCTTTGGGATGCAACACCCAGGAGACTGAGAACGCCAAAGTGACCCAGACGAAAACACAACTTTCAGGAGGGCGCTTAGCTTTTTTTCCCAGAAGCCTCTACTAGTTCCGCGGCTTCTCCACCTTTCCTGTGCATGCGAATCACCTGGGGCTCTTGCTAAATACGCTGACTGATTCACTAGGTCGGGGGCGAAGTCGGAGCCTCTGCATTTTTCAACACGCTCCAGGTGCTGCTGCTCCGCTGACCCTCGGCGTACACGAGGGACTCGAGGTCATCACCTCCCGGCCAGGTGTGCGGACGGCCAGCCTGGGCTTTCCGGCTCGCGATCCCGCGCGTCCCTGGCCTTCCGCCGAGAGGGGAGGAGTCGGGGGCGGAGCGGGAGGAGTGGCGCGGCCCCCGCGTGGGTCCTGCCGGAGATCACCTCGGCCCCTTGGCGAGGAAGCCAAGCTGCGGCGGCGCAGGAGGGGGCGGGTGCGGCGGGGGCGCGGCCTCGGCGAGGGGGGCGCGCGACGCGCATCCCCCGCGCTCGCCGGGGCCACTAGGGAGCCTCGCGGCAGTCCGCTGCCCCACTTGGCAATCCGCTCCGCGCTGCTTCCTCGCGCCCGCCTCCTCTTGTCACCTCCCGTCTCAGCCTCCTCGCTCCATCCCGACTGCATCCACCGCCATCCGAGTGCCTCAAAGAGCGAGAGGTGGTGCGCGGGACCGCAGGGCGCGCCCTCCAGCGGACCCCGGCTCGGCCTTGGTGGGGGCACGGGCGGCAGCATGGACACCAAGCGCTGCTTTGCCAATCGCTTCGATGACTACCAGGGCAGCCTGCTGGCGGGCCAGTGCGAGGAGGCGGTGGCGCCCTTGGTCACCGCCACCATCGAGCGCATCCTCCAGGAGCTGCCCCCGCTCGGGGGCGGCCCAGAGGGCCGGGGGGCGGCGGCCGCGGCCAGCAGCTGCCAGTGGGGACTGTACGGCGGCGTGGCCGGGGTGGCCTACATGCTCTACCACGTCTCTCAGAGCCCGCTCTTCGCCGGGGCCCGGGAGCGCTACTTGCGCTCGGCCAAGCGCCTCATCGACGCGTGCGCCCGCGCTGAGGAGTGGGGCGAGCCGGACGCCGACACCCGCGCCGCCTTCCTGCTCGGGGGCGCGGGCGTGTACGCCGTGGCCACGCTCGTGTACCACGCCCTGGGCCGGCCCGACTACGTGCAGCCGTTGGGCAAGTTCCGAGCTCTGTGCGCCGTCTGCGCGCCCGTCTCCTTCCTCGAGTGCGGCTCCGACGAGCTCTTCGTGGGCCGCGCGGGCTACCTGTGCGCCGCGCTCGTGCTCAAGCAGAAACTCGCCCAGGAGGTAAGAGGCCACCCCGGCCGCAAGGGGGCGCGCGCCGCCCTACCACCCGGCTCCCGGCTCCGGGAGCGGAGCCCCGGCTGTTCTCCGTCTCTCTCTGTTACTCTTCTGACTCTGTGGTTTCTTGAGGCTCTGGAGGTTTATCCCTTGCTTTTGTCCGTCTCCCCCCGCCGCGCTCTCCCCCCACCGCTTTCAGTCTTCTCAGTTGGGATTACCCGCCTTTGCTCTTTGTTCGTGTTTTACTGAGACATGGCATCTCCCCAAATGCCTCTTTGCCCAGGTGTTGTCTGGAGGTCCTTGCAAGTGAGATTTTTTTAATATCCTAAATGAAAGGAAAGAGATTTCCCTTCCTTTAAACCCTCCTGTCAAAAGCTGAAGTACCCTCGCATGTCAGAGTACTAGAAAGTCATAGAAGTTGGGGAGTGGGCTAATCTATGCTAGTATTGTTTCCATCATTAAGGTGAAGGTAAGTTGTTTCTGCGACCTCCAGGTCTGTATGTGCTTCCTATGTTGGCTTTCTATTCAGTAAATTGCACGGGTCTTATAAAATGTATCTCTGAGGGGAGTGTCCTCTTTTAAATACATAAGTGTAGACAGAATTCTACTCTATTGTAATCTAAAGTGCTTCCCCCCCCCCCCCATTTTAAAATGAATGGTTAGGATTGTCGGGGCAGTTTTTCTTAATGAATAGCTTTCTACGGGTTCCTTGAAGTGAATGGATTTCACAACTATATGTGTTTTTTTTTTCTGGATTCACTTTGAACACAGCGCGTGGATATTAGAAGAGAGAGTGCCAGTGTCTGTAGTGTAGGGGGGAAAAAAAGTCCTCCAAAGGATCTTAGTAACTAGAACTGAAAGAGAGGCACTTCATTCATAACCCACTGGAGCCAAATACTGTTTAGGGAGGAAGTGACACATTTAACTTGGCTCCATTTGGGTGAGAGAAGCGTTTGAAGACAAATTAAAGGTACACAGTGTTTTAAAAGTGTAATTAACTTAGATAACCTCTACAGAGGCAGTCTTGATTTTTTTTAAAAAATTTATAGCAGATGAGGTTAATTCAAGTGAGAAAGATTACCAAAGACTGTGCAGTGTCCTAGCAGGGAAGCAAAGGGTTGTGTGACAAACTTGTCTTGAAATACTTCACTCTGTTTCAGAGTCACTGTTACCAGCTAGCAGTTTCCCAAGGGCCTTTCCAGTTGTAGAAAACCTCTGAGAAGGCCACCAGGCTATTTACATATCATTTGCATTATAGTTGCATCTGCTCCTCAGACCTTGCAGTCTGGTGGCAGGCGATTTTCAAATTTGTGGGGATTTCTCCCCCGAGTTGTTTTCCTTACACATGCTGCTTTCCCATTCTATGCTTTTCTCCAGAATGGAATGGCAGAGTGGGAGAACCATGAGGTCATGCGCAAGTGGCAACCGATCAGGACTCCTTGCCTGAAGACTGGTGGCCCAGGGCCAGTCTGCAGTGCTGATCCACAAAGACATTTCTTAAGACCTCTCTTGTGCCCTGCTGTCAAACTGGATCTATCTTTTTATAATAATCAAGTTGAGGTGCTCTAGCCCCTGCTCCCAGGAGACAGAACAAGCTCTAAGGCTGTTTTTTTTGTTTTGTTTTGTTTTGTTTTAAGCTAAAAAAAAAAAAAAGCTCTTAACCTGAGCAAATCAGCTAGTCTCAGTGGCAGCCTCAGCTGTGGTCATCCAAAAAGTTCAGACATGAAAGGACAGAAGCTAAGCATGCCAGGCTTGAAGCCCTTTGAGGGGAAAATGCAAGTCTTCTGCACCATCCCCACCCCCATGTCCTAGCCTGCATATGGCTTTGCCCTCGGTAGATGATCCATAAACCTTGATTAAATTGAATTGCGAACTTCTGTCATTTCTCTGTGAATAATCTGTCATTCTGCCCTCGGTTTCTTTCCCTCCAATGTCATTTATATTCACTTTCCTCTGGCAGTGCCCTCGGTTATCACCCTGGTCTAGCTCCTCCCCACCCTACTTGACACATCTCTGCCACCCAATAAATAGTTGAATGAGTGAATCACCCTGTACTGGGATTAGTGCTCTCAGCTAGCTTCTCTCACTCCAGCCATTCCATGTACCTCTGAGAAACCAGGCTTCTTATAAACACTTTTCATTATGTCACTACCCTGCTCAACGTCCTGCAGTGGCTCCCTATTTCCTTTTGTCCAGTGGCTGCTCATCTTGCACTTAAACCAAGATCCTTAAAATGGCTGACAAAGCGCCATGTGATCTGACCCCAGCTTACCTACTCTACTTTTTGCTCACTCTGCTTCAACCACATGGGCCTTCTTGCTGTTTCAGGCATTTATTGTCTCAGGGTGTTTGTACTCACTGTTCCCTCTGCTTGGAATACTCTACCCCTATCTCTTTTTATAGTTAGCTCCCTGACCTTGTCTGGGTTATCTCCTCAGTGAGTCCTTCCCTATCCACCCTATTTAAGACTGCCACCTGTCCCCTGACTTAGGCCCTTTTCTTGCTTCATTTAACTTATTTTCTTTATGTCGTCTTCAATTAGACTGTAGCTCCATAAGAGCAGAGGGTTTCCATTTCATTGATGGACTTAAGCATTAAGATCGTACCTGGTACATATGTGGGTTCTCAACTTTCCTTGTTGTGGTTGTGGTGGAAATATTTTCAATGCTTTGCTTCATCACTCAGTTCTAATAGCATCCCATTTACCAGTATTTTCCTTTATGGTGGTGCCTTTGATGTTATGTTTAAAATAATGCTTTCCTGTTTCCGTAAGAGCTTAAAAAATCCTTTCCTACTGCCAAGGTATCAGTAAGTATTTGTTGAATGTGTGAATAAAGGAACACTACTTTCTTACAAATTTGACCTCAAAGCAAGCTTAACCACTAGACCAGTGTTTGTTAAACTTTAACATTATAGGCACCACCTGCAGATCATGTTAATAAAATACAGATTCTGTTTCAGCAGACCTGGTATTGGGCCTGAGATTCTGCATTTCTGTCAAGGTGCTGCTGGCTGTCCAGGGATCACACTCTGAATAGCAAGGCAGTAATATATTACTGCATGGATTTTGGCATTATACCAGCCCCGTCTATTAAGATGCTGTTTTCTGAAGCTTGTATATTTGTTTATAAAGTTGTAGTTTAGAATACCAATTCCTATATCCTACCATACTTTCGTTTTAACAACCCACAAGAGAAATTTCTGTCAGGGCTTTGAAACAGGAAGAGTTGTGCTCCTCCTGGAAATGAATTGAATCTTTTTAAATCTCCAGGATGAGTTGTATAACTGATCATGTTGCTCACTTTATGTTGGCTCCTAGGAAGCATATGGTCAGAATTATGGTCCACATAGCTTGTGTACAATACCATATCACCTATTTTCTTATATACTAAAATTTACATTTGGTTTATCTGTTATTTTTTTTCTTCCTTCATTTACCCTTTTCTGAACTTTCTTACTTAGATCTGATTTTATTGTTTGTATTTGTTTAGAAGATTCAGAGATGGAAAAAAGTGTGTGTATGTAGACAGAGAGACATACAGACAGAACCATTCTCTCTAGGTAATGTATTTTTGATTAATTTGGCCTTCCTGGAAATACTCCAGGGAAATAGCTTAAAGCAGGGGTCCCCAACCTCTGGGATTTAATGCCTGATGATCTGAGGTGGAGCTGATGTGATAATAATAAAAATAAAGTGCACAGTAAATGTAATGTGTTTGAATCATCCTGAAGCCATCCCCGCCCCCCATCCATGGGAAAATTGTCTTCCAGGAAACTGGTCCCTGGTATCAAAAAGATTGGGGACTGCTGTCTTAGAGGGTTTGTTAGGCAGACATCCTTAAGAAATGGAGCACTGAAGTCTTAATAAATCACACTGTAAAAACTAGCATTGGTCTGTTCTGTTTTCTAGATTGGTGGAAATGTAAATGAGAATGGTGGTGAGGTTAAGGGGGAGGCCTGGGGAACCACAGTTAAAATAATAACTTTTGCTCCTGGGTGACCTTGGACAAATAATTGTAACATCTTGGAGCCTGAATTTCCTCACTTGGAAAATGGACAAATGATAGCTTCCTCCTTCGCTTATTCTGTCATTCACTCTCTCAGTGAATGTCAGGTTTCTCCGTATGCCCGGAACCTCGCTAGATGCCAGGGTTGAGCAGTGAACAAAAATCAATATAGTAACGTTGTCAGAAGTGCTCGGAAGGAAATAAACAGGAAATAAGTGCGGGCGGGGTGGGAGCGGGCAGGGTGCTGCCTGGCATACATTAGCAGGGAAGGATTCTCGGTGGAGGTGACGTCCTGGCTCATCACTGAAGCATGAGAATGAAGCAGCTGCCTTAAAAGCAGGCATTCCAGGCTGAGGGGATGGCAAGGACAAAGCCCCCGAGGCAGGAAACTGCTTGGAGATGTCCAAGAAAAGGAAGGTGGTGGCCCTGCTGGAGAAGAGTGAGCAAAGGCTAGAGGGTTAGAGGTCAGGGGGGAGCTGTGAGTAGGGGAAAGGCAGGTCTGGCTGGGCAAAGTTAGGAGTTGGGCATTTGTTTCAGTTGGAAATAGGGCACTGTCTTCATCTGATTCACCTTATAAAACAATGATACAGATTGGTTTTCTGTATAGACAGCGGATTGAACAGTATTAAGAAAGGTCACAGGAGGACTTTTTAGAGGGAATCTAAAAATGTGTTTCGTGCCAAGGACTCCTTTGTAAATCTGGTAAAACCTCCAGTACCTCTTTTGAGAAGAACATTTTTAGATGCAGAAAATAAAACACACAGGATTACAAAGGAAGCCAATTATCTTAACATTCAGTTACCAAAACATTTTCTAAACATGTGATGCACTAGCATATGTACTGCTTGAGTAGCACATTCAATGCGGTTTTGCAGTGGGGCCTAAGGAGTATGGTACATTTGCAGCAATGATGAGGGGCAGTGATATTTCGAGATGTCTTCAACAACTGCAGTGTGACATGACCATATCTGTGATTTCTATAGGTGGCAAAGTCATGAGTACTCCTGGTGGTTCGTGGTCTGCATTTGTAATAAAAGGAAATGCCAAGCTGTTTAAATAAGGTTAGAGAAAATAGAGATGTGATTTTCTTTTCTTGGCCAAAGGGGACTGGTCTGGAGGTGACTGCGATGACTCACCCAAGATAAAGTGCCTAGCGTAGTGCTTGGCACAGAGTAGCTGCTTAATGAAATCCATGTTATGCCCCTACTAACAAAAAATCGAAAGTGATTGAGCATCACATAG